CCCTGGCCCTCAGCACCGCCTCTGCCCGGCTGTTAAATCCCCCCAGGGCTGGGGACTCGACCCCTTCCCCTGGGCAGCCCTTCCAGCCCCTGACAGCCCCAAGGGGAAGGAATTGTTCCCCATGGCCAACCTCACCCTGCCCTGGCACAACTTGAGGCCGGTGCCCCTCGTCCCATCGCCTATTACTTGCTCTTCCTCTACGTTAAAGTGTAGTCAGCTGACATGTAAAAGGCTCCACCAGCCCTGCTGAAGGGAGAGCTGTGGTGCAGACCTTGGGCTGCGGGAAGTGCCCAGGCCTTGCTCCTGGGGCAGAGGCAGGTGGCAGAGCCCCCTGCAAAAGGTGTGCTGGGGTGGAGGATCTCCTGCCGCAGGTGGCTGAGCTGCAGGAGGTGGCGAGAAGGCTGCGTAATGTCAGGAAGGCCAAGAAGGAGTTGGGTAGCTGGTTCTGAGTGCAACCTGCCATGGACCCACAGCCAAAAACTCCCCCACTGGCACACACAGAAGGGAGGAGGGCCAATAATGCAGAAGAATGGACGGTCGCAACGGCAAGGACCAGCAGGAGGAAGAGACTTCCCCCAAAGCCCAAGGTGCCCTTGCAGAACCACTTCACCGCTCTGCAGTGTGAAGAGGAAAAACTCATCACAGGAGAGACGCTGGAGCTGAGCAAGGCAGCTCGATCTGCTCCCCATATAACAACCAGCGCAGCTGAGAAAGGCGACGGGTGATAGTAGTAGGCCACTGTCTTCCAAGAGGTACGGAGGCACCCATTTGCCGACCTGACGCACTCTTGAGATGTGTGCTGCTTACCAGGGGCTTGTGTCGGGGATGTCACCGAGACACTACCAAGCCTTGTAAGTCCACTGACTATTATCTGCTGCTGTTGTTTCACGTGGGTGCCAGTGATCCAGCCAGGAGCAGTCGCGGGAGTGTCCTGAAGGATTACGGAGCCCTGGGAGCGGCAGTAAGGGACTCTGGAGCACAGGTAGTTTCTCATCAATCCTCCCAGTCAAAGGGAAGGGGTTGGAAAGGGCAAGTCGAATCTGGCGAATCCACAAATGGTTACAGGAGTGGTGCCACAGCCAGGGGTTCGGCTATGCAGACCATGGCACTTGCTTTGAGAAAGCTGGTCTACTGGGGGCTGATGGGGTCCATCTGCCCAAGAAGGGGAAAAGCATCTTTGGTCACAGGCTTGCCAAGCTGGTGAAGAGGGCTTTAAGCTAAGGTTGCCAGGGAGGGGAACCTCAATCCATCCCACTCCTACCAGTTTGATGCCAGTGCCAGCAATAGGTGCCCAGAGCCTGGAGAAGGATCACAGGTCAGCAGGAGAGCACCTGAAGAGCAACACAAAGGAATTCCAGCCAGTAAGCCAGCTTCATCGGGGGCCCAGCTTAAATGCCCCTACGTGCAAATGTACGTAGCATGGGTAATAAACCAGAGGAGTCAGAGAGGTGTGTATGTCTGCAGGCTTATGATCTTATTGGCATCACGGTGACGTGGTGGGTGGCTGCCCCATCCCTGGAAGCGTTCAAGGCCAGGCTGGATGGGGCTTTGAGCAGCCTGGTCTGGTGGAGGGTGTCCCCGCCCATGGCAGGGGGTTGGAACTGGATGATCTTTAAGGTCCCTTCCTACCCAAACCTTTTTGTGAAATAATCAAGGCTTAGATGGGCATAGGCTATTGCAATTGATTATTACAGGTTTTATATTGTACTATATACTGGTACGCTTATGAATTCTTAGGTTAAAGTAGCAATTTTGAGGAAGCCTTCAGTTTGCCTTTCGTCTCTCTATGACTCTGTTTTACCAACCGATGCAGTGGTTTTCTCTCAGGCTGAATAACTTCCAGGACACTAACATCTTCCATTCCCCCTCCCTGTTATCATCTGTAGTTTTGTTGAGGTTGGAAAGAGTTCTGGTGGTGCTCCAATTCCAAATGGAACTGTAGCCTGAAAACTCTTTCCTATTATTTAATTTCTTTTTAGATATCTTTAGCTTAGAATTTCTTTTAAACTTTTTTTTTTACTGTCTGCTTTTGAACAGTGCTTGTTTTTTATCTAGTAAAGTAGGCTTGTTCACCTTAACTTCTCCATGTTGCATTGCCGCATTGGAAGACCGAGAGAGAACAGATTAGATGCTCCAGTGCTCTCAGGCACTTGAAATAATGTGCTCTCGCTGTAGTATGTTTGGAGGAAAAAAAAATAAATCCTGATCTTTGGAAGATGGTAGTATGCAAAAAATGAATAAAATAAAAGGAAATGCATGCGATAAAATGGGTTCCAGGCTGGGAGGTAAACTGTACTTTGAAGGTGCAGCATTTGGGTTGATAAGGTCTTTGCATGAATAAAAGTTGGTGGGTTCCCAGGAGCGCGTATCAGCTAAAGTTCCTGTGGAAAAACCTCATTACAAAGCGCTTGGTCAGTCAGATTGTGGCGTGGTTTCCCTTTGGCATGAACTCTTCAGTCAGAAGAATCTCATTCACTGATGTGCTAACGGGGCTCTTTGAAGTTGCTTCCAAGCTGCATCGGTTGCCTGGGGCCCCCTCGGAGTTTTATCTCTCTGCTCACATATTGATTCCCAATTGTTTTGAGAAGCTTTAATTTAAAGGAAATCCAAAGTTTTTTCTTTATCCAAGAGATCTGATTTTTTTTTTTCATCTAGTCAGCTCTGTTCTTACATTTGATATATTGCTCTAAATAATCCTTTGATGTTTCTTTATTAAAACTAGAGTTCTTAAACTGTAGCCACGTCTGATCCTGTGCAGATACAGCAGAGTCCCTGCACCAACGAAAAGGAGCCTCTTAACGTTTTCCCCAAGTGGTTTTAGCCCTAATTGTTATCTGGGCTTTGTTCTTCAGCCATCATACTGCTGATGTAAAGTAGGTCACGCACTTTCTGAAGAGAGAAAAAAAAAAAAAACCACCATGGGGTTGGCAGCAGAGGTTTGAGCCGAATTACATCAGAGTGTGAAGTGAGTGGTCTTGAGTTAAGAATAGAAAATTAAACTGAAATGATTTTTTATTCCTGTTTTCTCACAGGCAGGTTCCCGCCTGCACTAAAAGATTTTTGAAGTTAATTACAAACTGCTGGTGCAAAAGCAAAAAGCATACACACCAGAGCTTCCACTAACTTCCACTTACGAAGGCGTGTTTGCGTTGGCTGTTGTTTCCAACTCTAAGTGACTGAAGTGCTGTTTTGTAGCTGTATTTTGCTTTTATTATGAGGATTATTTTAATATGTGTTTCTTTTAATCTCCACAAATTCAGATCGAGTGCTAAATGGATTTAGGATTTGTGAGCTACAAACTCTTTCTTAGACTTACTTGCTTAGTAATAGCAAAACTCCGAGGAAGTCCTTAAGCCACAAGGTCATCTTAGGTTTGTAAATTTATTTATGGGCGCAGGTACTAAAAGAGAAGGATACCTTCATGTCAGAAGAATGACCTTGCTGTAGGATCCCCCAAAGGCGTGCGTTCTCCTGTATTAGTGGTTGAGATGCCAGCTCTCCCCTCTGCAGTGCTGCCACCGAGAATTGCCCAGAGCTCTAGGTGCCTGAATTCAGAGCCGTGTATTACAACTCTCTGTTATGGATCGAGAATGTACTGGCATCAGATGTTTTCCTCTGTGGAAAAGCTGTTGTCAATAGTTGTGTGCTTCAGTGATAGAGTAGTTTGTGGGTCTGTTTAGTAAGCAGAAATCGCAACAATAAAATTATGAAAAAAAACTTGTTATGCAAGGCGGTTTTACTGTTTCAGCTAAGGAAATTCAAACTGCTTATTAGATGCAGGACCTTATCTGCCTCTTTCTTTTTTTCTATAGGTATAATGCGTGTGCCAAATGCTATAGCTGTCGTTTGCGCTGGGCATGACAGCTTCTTAAAGGGCTGTAGCGTGGGCTGTCAGTGCTTGTCTGTAGCCTGGAGGTTCAGACTGACAAGCTGGGATGCTCTTTGGGAGGCTGGTAAGGTTGCTGCACTGTGCCTGCTGTGAAACACAGTGCATCGGCTGATGAACCCACTAGAGTGTATCATAGAATCACAGAATCCCAGGTTGGAAGGGACCTCCAGGATCATCTGGCCCAACCTTGCTAGGCAAGAGCCCAGTTCAGACAAGATGGCCCAGCACCCTGTCCAGCTGCGTCCTGAAAGCGTCCAATGTGGCAGAGTCAACCCCTCCCCTGGGGAGATTATCCCGATGGGTGACTGTTCGCAGGGTGAAAAATTTCCCTCTCATGTCCAGTTGGAATCTCCCCAAGAGCAACTTGTGCCCATTCCCCCTTGTCCTCTCCATTGGACTCCTTGTGAAAAGGGAGTCTCCATCTTCCTTGTAGCCACTGGTAGATGGTGATGAGAGCACAGGATTCCAGGTGTGGCCTGGCCATCGCTGAGCAGAGTGGGATGATGACTCCTTTACCTCTGCTGGTGATGCCCTTGGTGATGCCCCCCCGCACCCTGTTGGCCTTCTTGGCCGCAGCAGTGCTCTGCTCTCTCCTATGGAGCTTTTCGGCCCCAGGTCCCTTCCCACAGAGCTGCTCTCCAGCCGGGTGGATCCCAGCCCGTGCCGCACTCCTGGATTGTGTTTTCCCAGGTGCCAGAGCTTACACTTCCCAGTGTTGAACTTTATTAGGTTCTTGTTAGCCCACTCTTCCAGCCTCTCTAGATCTTCCTGTGGGGGGGCTCTTCCTTCCGGAGTGTCCACGTCCCCACTCAATTTGGTGTCATCTGCAAACTTCATCAGGCTGTGCTTGATCCCGTTACCCAGATTGCTTATGAAGATATATGGTACTGTCCTCTAAGGTAAACCTTCAGTCCAACAGTAACTTCCAGTGAAGACGATACTTCCTTTGAGTATAAATAAAGTATTATCTGTGTGGGTGTTTTAATATCTGGTGTCCTACATGGCACTGGTGTGATGGTCTTCTGTTACAGCAACAGACATTCAAGACATAGACTAAAAATCTTGCGGAGAAAGAGCTGTGAGAAGTGTTGCAAATACGGGTTGGCCCCGCTCTGAGGGCAGCAGGGCGGGACAGGACTTCATCCCTTCGGGCAGTTCTGTTTGTGATTTCTCTACCCCTGAATCTGCAGTAGAGAGAAGTTGTTTCTGTGCTTATCTAGAAAGATTTGGACTCCTGCGTTGGTTTGTGATAGTCAAAATAATGATCCTTCCTTCTTAATGTATTCTGTGGCACAGTTGAAGAACTGCATTGACTGCTCTCTCTTGGGGACAGTTGTAAGTTAAGGTTAGATATTGGTAGAATTTGTGGGGGTGAAACTCCTTTGTCCTGTATCAGCCCCAAGCTCTTCATTGCTTTTTATAGTGAAACTGTTCTTGAATTTCTGTCAGATTGTTTTTAGTGTTGAAACTGTTAAGCAATAAGCACAAGTAAACTTCTGCTTTTCAGCCGTCGCCATGCAGAGTGCCAGTGGGCGATGGAGAGAGCAGCCATTATTTGCCGTTGGACGTGGTTGCAGGCTCAAATCGCTGATTTGGAATATCGGATAAGACAGCAAACTGATATCTACAGGCGACTTCGTGCCGCCAAGGTAAGTCTAGCCTTCTGTTTTATGACTTGGGAGGTTCTCTGGACGCTATTAACGGGCTATTTCTTTAGCAGAATGCTGTGTTCTCTGTAGAAATAAGGGTGAGGGAAAAACCTTTGGAGTTTTGGAGTTAGCCCCATACCAGTAAGAGGTGTTGCCCTTGTCTTTTGAGGGCTGTGACTTCTGTCTACTTCACAAAGACTACAGTAAGAGATGGTGAGAGACGAGGGGCTCAACGTCATCACCTTGTCCAGGCAGAGCGGCTCATTAACGGAACGGGGCTCCACCACGGTGTTAGCCACGAGTTGGTCCTTGCAAGCCTCGGTTTCTAAACTGGCACAGTGCCAGGGCACCATCAGCGGTGCTCGCAGGCACCATTTGCGTTTCAAGCCTTGATGCCTGCTGGAAAGTATTACCCTTTAAATCGCAGAACGCTGCGTGCACAAGTTTTACGCTTTTCTTCTAGGCCGTGACCTTTTAATGTTTCATGTCAGTATCTGAGAAGCGTTATGGTAGAAAATAGATAGGATGAATACTCATTTCTTGACTAGAATGATATTTACTTCTTTGTGACTAGATTTCCTGGGGAAAAAATTAAACTAAGCTTTCCATCTTCTAAACTTGAAATGTGTTTTGGGGTTTCCCCTTTTAAGAGCCTTTCAGTCCACCGCAGAAGTCTCTGGAAACACTTGAGTTAATCCCTTCAAGGTGCTTCTGAACCTTTGAAATCACTTTTGTGTTCCAATTTGAAATGATTTGAATCTGTTTAGATTTCAATGTAAATGGCAAAGCTCATTTCCCTAGACTTTGGGTAAAAAAAAAAAAAAAGCAGAACGTGAGGATTTTTACTTGGCTTGAGTGTTTTCCTTCTTCCTGCCCTTTCTCTGGAAGGAAAATTGGTTTAATTATTGTCCTTACTGTGCATGTGTCTGTTTTCTCTGGATAAATGCACTTTCCTTCTGCATCAGCCTTTACAAATCAAATATGTTGGATGACTTTTTGATAAATTTAAAACTTCTTATTCCCCAGGGGTAGAATGTGTCTCTGACAAAGAGCAATGTCTGTATAGCTTTACTCGTACACCTTTGTAGGTGCTCCTGCAAGATCGCAGGAAAGCCTTAGTTTATTGGCATTGTTGGCCAGGATTGCCAATGAGAGGGTTGGTCAGCCCTGCTTTAAGTGAAGGCTTAGACTAGATGACTTCCAGATTTACCTTCCGATCTAAATTGCTCCTTGATTCTACTCTAATGCTAGGGAAAATAATGATTCATAAGGGCCCTAGACTTCCCTAACGTTAGTCTCTAATGCAGCACAAGGTGATGAAGGAGAATAATAACTTTGCAGGTGCTTTGAATCTTCCCTAACTGGAATTTCCTAGCTGTATTTCAGTATTTCTTTAGCCAAATTAGCTTGTGTTTATCTTTAATTCACTGTAAAGCAGTTACTGTTCTCAATCAATGATGCCCATACAGACATGAATGCAAATGCATGAAATTAAGTTAATTGTTCTGCATACTTTCTTCCATTCACAAGTTTGTGTATCATTATACCACAGGTGCTGTAAAGAGTAGAGTGCACAGTGAATAACATTAACATTCCCTGTAAGGAATGCTACATTTCCAGCTACTTTCTGTTAAAGAATTTCATGAGTCTCTGGGTTTGTATTTATTCACAACTCCGAGTTGGGCCATCACCTCAGTGAGTGGCAAATGAGAATCACAGACTTTTTATATCTTTCTATTGTCATTGCATAAAGGGTTTCCACACTGTTCACAATTCCTCATTTGTTTGGTCAGCTGAAAGTCCATTATTTTCCACAGGTTAGCATGTTCTTATCGTTCTGTCTCAGTTCTGCTTCTCAATCACGAAGTCCATTGGCTCATCCATCAAAGGTCATCTTTCGGCAGACACCGTGAATGCAAGGCAAAACCATAAGAACTTGACCTTCTACGTATCCTCTCTTTGTCTGGGCCTACTTTAATTATTCTGTCTACATCTTGGTTTAAGATCAACTTATCTGATTGTCTTAGTCTTACCTTCATCTGTCTTTTATTTATTGATTAACTCGACTGGTGATTAGTCCAAACATGGAGGGGGTCTATACAAGGGACATAGCGAGCAGTAGACCATGGGCTGTTGAGTTTCTGCTTGCACACCTGCATCTTGGTTGCATTCAGAAGTCAATATCTTAATACAATATCCACAGGATGATTAAGGAGACTAAGCAAAAGCAAAATTAACTCCTTCCTTTATCACTTTCTACCGATCTTTTTTTACTAAAGACACATTTTGCTGGTGTGAGAAACTATTAAGCTGCTGTTGAGCACGGAGAAGATTGTCAAGAGGGGCAGTTTGGCACGTAAAGCACTGCATGTATGCCACAAGGCGTACACTGCTAAGGGTGAAGAGGATACGTGTGACCGGAGCAGTAGAAACTGAACTGTGGAGTGGCCAGCTCTCCTCAGCCATTATAAAAATGGAAATGAAATAGCGTGAAGGGAGGATGGTAGTCTTAATCACAGCAATAATCATCTCTTGAGCAGTACTCATTAATTACTGCTGTGTTATTCTTAATAGTCTACATTCTCTGAATAGTCTAGTCTGAAATAGCAGCCATCAACATCTGCTGGTCCCTGGACAATGATACCGAGTGCGTAACGTCCTGCGGGCACTGTCATGCCTCGATGTCCTTTTTGCTGGTCTTGGTTACACATCCCTGTAGCTGTGAGCAGAGCTGGAGGACCCTGATGACAGCATGCTAATTATAAGCCATGCTTGTGGATAGCTCTTCTGGGAAAAACAGAAAGCACTGATGTTGGCCTAGTACTGTTCCCTCCTTGAACTGCTTCCCCTAGGTCAGAGAGAACACTTAAATTTTGAATTAATGAAGGTGCCATAGAAATGCAACTCCTAAGTTGTTTCTTTCTCTTCTGGAGTATGCTTCAGAAATATTTGTTGTGCTGCGGCTTCTATGAGTGGAATTTGTTGCTTTTTCTCCCCAGGGCCCAGTAGTCCTTGGTGGTGACTGGCAGCCTGGAGACCTAATGAAGAAGCAGGGCCGGTTGGGTTCTGTGTCACTGGTGACCTCCAAAGAGAATAAGTGGCTCTCGCCTTCATCTTCTGCCCCAAGGTGCCCTCTAGGAGATGCTGTTCCTTCCAGTTTCCCATACAATGTGCAGAAGCAGGTCAGTAACCAAGAAACACATAATTTCGCCGTGATAGAAGCAAAGAAAGAGACTTTCATTAAACCAAGTCTTAAATTAACAGCACTTTGTAGATGACATCAAATAATTTGGTCTTAATATACTATTGTCTTGTTTATAACTCATTTTGGTATTTTTTCTCGTGTATTAATGCATCAGCTGATACCAGCTTACTAGTACTTTGTATTTGACGTGTGACAACTGAACTTGCTTCACCTTATGCTTTTAAAAAAAACCTCTTGTACTTTTGTGTATTCTTAGAGTCCTCCAAATTTAAACAAAAAGCAAAACAAAACCAGGAAACAAAAAACCCACCACAGAAATCTACTGTGAGAATTTGCTGTGCAAGGTCTGTGGACAGTGATTGAGTTTGCAGTCGTAAAAAACCTGAAAACTAGTGTTCAGGAAAATTTTAATTTCTGATCTTAAGCTGCTGCTAGGGTCTTGGCACTTCTGGCTTCTGGCCCACGTTGTTTGTGTGTGATGGCTTTAAAGGACTGACGTACCTAAGTAGTGTTCAGAACCTGGTATTTCTGGGTGGTGGTGGGTAGCTTCTGGTCTACCAAGTGACTTAACAGGTGCTTTTAGCCTTAACATCTGTGAAGGTTCAGCTGTCCCAAGCTGCAGATGTAGAGCAGAGACAATATCATAGAATCATATCATAGAATCCCAGGTTGGAAGGGACCTCCAGGATCATCTGGTCCAGCCTTGCTAGGCAAGAGCCCAGTCCAGACAAGATGGCCCAGCACCCTGTCCAGCTGAGGCTTGAAAGTGTCCAATGTGCTGGAGTCAACCCCTCTCCTGGGGAGATTATCCCAATGGGTGACTGTTCTCATGGGGAAAAATTTCCCTCTCGTGTCCAGTCGGAATCTTCTCAGGATTAACTCGTTCAGGTATTGATACGCTTCAAGGAGACAGGAAAAAAACCCCCAAACCTAAGACTCCTCCTGTTCTTGGAAGCCAGCTTTAACGTTTTCAGTTACAAATTCTGAGGGAGGGTACTCCGATATGTGTGAGGGTGAGCTGCAGAACCTGAACATTGAGAACAAGTAACTGAACTCTTGTGGGAACAGAGGTGAGAGACTGTGCTTGATAGATTCAAGATGAACATGGGATGATTCATTGGTTTTTCATTGTACGATAGAAATGTCTATTAAAAGGAAGTATAGCTATAATTATATTCAGACTTGAAACATTCTATGGCAAAATTAAATTGTTCAAAAAGGGAATAAACAAGTTAATGGAAGCTCTACCAGTTAAATGCTGTGGTCCAGATAGTCTGGTGCAATAAATCCCTGTTTTAAGTATTTGACAAGATGATGCTTCCTTCAATGTCGCAGCTTCATTCCTTGACACTGCAGTGTAAGGAAACTGTACTTGTGTTGCTCTTCTATCTTTGCGTGGGTTTGTTTAACTAACGCTAAGGTAGATACATGCGTGCAGTGACCTGCAGGTATTGGGATTTAATGGTGTGGAAATCAAAAGGATTTTGGTTTTGACACTTCAGAATTGTGTCTACTAAATGTGTGTGAACATCCAAATATTCTTAAATAAAACTAGTATTTCTTTAAAACTTCTGAAAGTGCCTACGAAATTAGTACAGCGTTTATTACGGGCTTTAGTACAGTATAAGCTTTTTGTCTAGTGGAAAAGGCAGAATAGCTCAAAAATGAGGCCGTCCTGCTCTGAAAATGGTCTCCAGCTTATAAAACAGAGAACCAAAAGCTCTGCTGTGATAGTTACTTT